ATTCCACAATGTTGTCCAGGGTTTTATGGTTTTGCATGTTCTGGTTTGTATATTGATCGCTCATTTCACCAAATTAAATACTATAAGATACATCGCTGTACATAACTTCGAACGGCTCTGTTTATTTTGAACACAACTTTAATAAACCTTCACAGCTTGTCCCAATGTTCATGGTAAAGTATGCAACGATCGTGGGCATTGTGACGACAAACAAACTGGCAGCGGGCATTGTAATTGTACTGGCAATTTTGATGGTGTTGCGTGTGAAATGTGTAAAAACGGCTACTGGGGACCGAATTGTGACAGTAAGTATTGCATGCATTTTCTTGTAACAGGCAAGTGTGGTGTACACACAGCCTGTCATCTGATAAATTCCCACATCAGTACGTTAAGCTCAAGAAAGTTTGAAATCTCGCCTCTTAAACTGACAAATCTCAACCCGAGCAAAGTTGGGAAGTTGACGTTGAACAGGGAATTGTCAATAAACTCACGCAAAGGCAAATAACGTAGAATTGGTCTAAAAACCCCACAAAGCAAGAAAGTTTCCCCTGGGTAAATTATTATAAGTGCTACATGAATGAATCCGAATAGAAAGCACAATTGACTTCATTCTTCACATGGCAGTCGGCAAGTTACCATAAATCCAATGAATGCTGTGTTTTATGATCTGAGATTCGTTCATTTAGAGTTTCAGACAGTATATCTCGGCAGGAAATTTCTTTTTGGCGTGGTGCTTAGAAATTTGATGTTTCGAAATTTGATGAAACTCCCTTTGTGTTCTCATCGTTTTTGAGAACGTGACTCTCATACAATTATACATAACGATTTCTCTTGGATAGGAATTTCAGAGGAATTTCTCTTGTATCTAGTTCACTTGTTTCCTTTTCAACAGCAACTTACTTTTGCTTTTATCTGTAGAAACGTACATTTGTGGTGGTAAACAATGTCCTGAGCACTCCAGCAGGTAAACGACGAATGATGAGACCACAGATAATGAAAGACATGTTTGAATTTCGTTACGTTTTCGTTGTTCACGTGGTTGTTTGTGTTGTAGTTGCGGAAAAGATAATTCATCTTGTAAATGCGACAATGGTTTCAACATGACTGGAGGAATATGCCAACGTAAGCATTTAATGTTTATATTTCTGCTGCTCTCACTGTATTACTTTTTGAAAAATCGACTGCCAGTTAACTATACTTATTTTATTTAAATACGCGACATTACTGACGCAAGTACCCGTGCTGTAAGACTTATCATGGGACGTTGCCTTGAAAATGCACGCACTTACCACAAAACATAGAGAGAAAAATATATGACGTACTTTTTTTCTGATTTCATTTTGAGAAACCCGCGTAATCATGATTTTTAAGGTAATATTACGTGCAAAGACAACCTTAGTGATTGTTCACCCAATGCCAAGTGTAAGCACATCGATAAAAGTCCCTGGACAAATTGCACCTGTAAAAATAATTACCAAGGAAATGGTTATGTGTGTCAAGGTTTGTACTCTCATTGTAAGGTCTCTAAGTATATGCAGTGTGATTACGAGGTGAAAAGGTTTGCCTGGTTATTTGAATATCTTGACTTTTCTTCTTATTTCCTATAGGCCTTAACTTATGCTCGAATAAGTCAACAACACCATGTAGTGAAAATGCCACGTGTGTCTATCTTCGTCCCGGTCGGGTAAGTGTCCTTTACTACATTGGTTTGCCCCATGATTTTTTGCATTCAAGTGTTCTTCAATATTTTCCATCTGTTGCATGTAGACACTGTTTGTCATGTTTTACGTAAGCGTTTCGAGAAGACATAATTGATAAGTTCCTGTACCTTAAACTTTCTCTCTTAACTGACACAGTCAATTTTAAATCAATGCTTAAAATCATGGAAAAGTGCTTGTCTATCCGATGATTTTATCCAAACAGCTTTATTCTAGACAATCTCAAGATGTCTTGTTTTTTTCGTAATTTGCTCTATAGTTTCATATGGGTTTCTACTTTTTTTGTCCGCCCCCTGCATGTAGAGTTAACTGGATTTGCAATTGATTTTTAACTACTTCACCAGCCAACATTCGTTTTAAAAGCTATTTAAAATCCTCTGTCCTGTACTTTATGTAATCGCGTGCACTTGGAGCGACGAGATTATTTTTTATGTTTTCTAGGCTGCATGTAAATGTCCCTACGGCTATACTGGAAGCGGCTTAAAGAATACCAAATGTATTCCTATTGATCGTTGTGCAAATGTAAGTGCTCGTCTAATTGCGTCGTATCCTGCTTAATACAGAAAATTCAAACGTATTTGATCGTTCATTTACCGTGATTTTGATGAGAGAGAACTGCACTTGACGTTGCTCTTTAAGTGTGTTCAAAGGAGTGTCGTATCATAATTTTGAACACATAAGCTGTTGCCGAGTTGGTGGTAATTTATGTCAATTTTAAAAAATCTCAATAAGGACGACGGGTTGGCGTTATCATATCAAACCTATGAGCAATTACGTCATTATTTATTGAATACATGCCACATGCACGATATACCCACGTGAAGAAGGACGTCTGTTTCTTCACTTACTTGCGACATTATACAAATATTGACGTAATGGTACATTAGTTCGATGTGATCTAACGCTGACCAAAACGGTATGTGGCATAAGTGGTTGTGTTCTGCCACACGGCATTTTGCACGTGGCAATGCTTCGTTTTGCACGTTGCAATTCTTCGTTTTGCACGTTGCAAAGATTGAAAAAGTGAAACGTGAGACGAACAATATAGGCACGGTATGCATGTAGAACTAAAAGAGTTCATGAAAATGGTATGATTCACTGATTTCTCGACCATTCGAGACAAGCAGTTTCACTTACTAAAACCTCGCTCTGACATTGTTCAAAAATCGGCGTATCATTCGTTAAATCATTAATTAAATCGTGGAAGGTTTTTGTCATTCTTTTACAAATTATTTCTTTGAGCAACGTATACTCAATTGTGCGAGCTGCTCCCGAACTTCTATGTCGGAGTTTATAGTGTTTAGGAAAGTGTCTAATTGTGCAACTCTCTCATCTTACGTGTATGTGTACGTTCGTAGGTGTATTGCCTGTTTAATATTCATTTTTATAATAGGATAATGGCGGTTGTAGTTTCAATGCGAAGTGTTCCTTTGATTTCGTTTCCCTTAATGCAACTTGCAAATGCCTGCCAGGCTTTGTTGGTGATGGCTACACATGCACAGGAAATGCTATCGAGGTATTTTTCATCTTATTACATATTGTCTTTTTTTGGTTATCCCACTATCTAGTGCTTGTACGTAACAATTCTGACATCAGTTTGCAGCACCGTGTATTGTAAAGGCACTTTTACAAAATTAGTCGAATTTTCTTTACACAGAGAATTCGTCTATTCGTTTGCGAATTCTGTGTACGTGTGGCAGTTTTTTTTCTTTATGTTTTTTTATTTAAAATAAATCAGGATATTTTGTGCTTGTATAGGTTATACAAAATGATCCAGACTTAAGCGAATTTCACTCGCGTTTAATGGTAAGCAACAATAAATTTCTTATTTGTGGGAAGTCGTCATAGAAAGCGAAGAATTTGTTGCATGGAGTGCAGAGCGAAAGACATAAGTTGAGGAAGCATAAGAGTACGAGGTAAAGTATTGAGAGGGATAGAAGTATGAGATAGTCATAGAAGTAACAGTCATGACAGTAAAGGGCATAGGAGTGAGCAGACAAAAGTGCGAAGCAGGCATGAGAATGAGAGGCATAGGATTGAGAGACATAGGAGTAAGATGCATTGGAATGAGAGACATAGGAATGTGAAACATAGGAGTAGGAGGCATATGAATGAGAGACATGAGAGTGAGAAACATCGGACTGAGAGGCATAGGAACGTGAAACATAGGCATGAGAGACATGAGAGTGAGGGGACTAGAGCGAGAAGCATAGGAGTGTGAAGGTTAGAAGTGAAAGACATAAGAGTAAGAGGATAGAGAGGAAGAAGCAAGAGAGGGATTGGAATGATGGGCGTATGAGTAACAGGTGTAGAAAATGAGTGAAATAGGAGTGAAGGTGATGGGAATTAGAGGTTGGAAGTGAGTATAATGTAGAGGTTAGAAGTAAGTTAATATAGAAGGCAAAGAAGTGCGAAACTGTTGCGTAGCCAGCCAGCAAGTTCTTCCTTTTGAGTTAAATACGTCAGTGTCCACTATATGCAAAATCTTTCTAGAATATTTCTAAATACAAGTACTGATGATGTGTAGTTTACATTACACGACAAAACTTACAAGCTGACAACGCCATCTCTAAGAGACATAGAAGTAAGGGTCAAAGGAAGAAAAGAAATACAAGTGCGAAGCGTGGCATAAAGTGAAAGGGCTAGTTTGATTCGTTGCGTGTGTACTTCACGGAAATTCGGTTTTTCTCGGTAATGTTATCATATTTCGGTAATGCATTTTGTTTTTTTATATGTTTTAAAGAGTTCGTCGATCACAAACGCTCTCGGTCCTGAGAATCATTACACGTTAGTTGTTCCTCATAACAAAGCGTTTTCATCCCGACGACGAAAGGTTAGTATGCCTTTGTTACATCGCAGGGAATATACAGAAGGTCCACTTCGTGCGCCACAGGCTGCTGTGTAATTGATTAGATTACTGACTGCCGTTAGCCATTTCATCATTCCTATCAATGAAAAAAGCAATTGGCTGGATGCCGCTGTGCACAAAAACTGCTGCCACTGCAATGGAGGGCTCTACTGTATATTCATTGTGCTGTGCCTTCCTGCTTACATGTAACTTTTAGCTCATTCATATATTGCTCAGAGTGACACGACTGCTGTACCGGTCTTGTTATTGGCTAAAATTGAAAAATCTTTGTCTTGGCTTATTACATATTAATCTGACGTTTTTTAAGAAATGATACATGCGTCAAACGAAAAGGCTCGTTAAACATTTTATTTTTCCACCAACACTGCCATTAGTCTAGGCAGCCCTCACTCGTTTTAAAAACAATAAATTTCTAAAGAAAAAAGCGATGCTAATGATATGAAATTTTCATAGCTCGACCGAGCTTTCGGGCTGAATAAACAGTTAGGACATTTACCCCAGGGGAAAGAGAGATTTGGCTTGGCCACAATTTGTGGGGGCTTAAGTTTGACATAGTTTCTTGGACGAAATGTATATTCTGTGATAAACATTGTTGATGGCAGTGAAAAACATTCGAAAGATCATGTAAATTAAAAACAAAGCGTCACAATGTGTGTTTAGGAAACATCTTAGTGTAAGTACGAATGACATGCAATGCAAAAAAAAAACACACATGGTATTATCCAATGTCTATCATATTTGACTTTACAACGAGCAAATATCCACCTTAGACATCAGTCACGTTTGAAACATTAATTGCACTATGGGAACAAGATAAGAATGTTCGATTATCAATGTTTAGCGTCATATTGTGGATGAATCCGACATTGATCTTAATCAATACATCATCAGTTGTGTTGTACTCTCCGTCGAAGATTTGAATTCTACCAATCAAATTTTCACCACACTCGACGGCTCAAATCTTGTCATCACTGCGCCAATGGTTATCAATAACACAATTCGCATCCAAAATGTGACAGTTATAGCAAACAGTGCCATATTGATCGTTGATGAACTTCTTCGTGCTCCCGTTCAAAGGAAAAACCACTCCCATCATCACGTGAGTGTCATGAGTGAGCACATGAGTATCACATAGTAATGATGTATTTTTAATTTATTAATTTATCCTTCAGTAAAAGGGTTATTCTATTGATATTTGCACTGATATACAAAGGGGCCTGGGATCAATTGCCTAACCAATCGGTGACAAGCAGCATATTTTTTTTAGGAGAAGTTATCTTGAAAGAGATGTTTAAAGCTTTTGCAATTCATAACTTTTCTAACTTACTAATTTGAACAATGTCATCCAGGCTTCCAATGTAGTTGTGGAATTATTGTTTTTCGTTATTTTACCTAAAATTTGCCATACGTTGGATGGCGCTTTTTTATAATTACTCACTTTCGAAACACTGTTGATTGAATTAGATGCTGCATCCATTTGCTTAACTTACGCACTTTGTCATACGAGTATTGAAATTTATGCGCAATAAAACGGTGAAATAAAAATCACATGCTTAAAATTTCCTAGCACCTGATTGGACAAATCATTTTCTTCACTAGTGAAAAACGTCGTATCTGCATTCTGATTGGCTATACCACTTTTTTCACTATGGACAAAATGCATATCAAGTTTTATCACGAATGGTGAATAACATTAAAATTAAAGAAGACATAAACAATCTTTTTTGATTTCATATATCAATGGCTTTGCTATTTGTTGAGACACTGTCCGTAAGAGAATTCAATATAAATGTTAGGAAAATGATAAAAAACTGCAGAACATTTGATTTCTTTAGTAATTTTTATCGTCGAAACATGACTCGAAGATATTCTCTTAAAATTTATTTGTGTTATTGTGTTTTTTCATGCAAATTAGGTGATTGTTTTGAAGCGTTTGAATTGGGTCTATCACTTCAGCGACAAATTTCACTATAATCTAAAATTAAATACTCGTATGCTACGCTCACTCGTTTGTTTTCAATCCTTCTCCACTCTTGCATAAAAATCGTACGCACTCACCAACCATGGAGTAATCTATTAGTATCATATAGTAACTATTATTCTTCCAAATTTTGCTGACTAAACTTGACTGTTCTGTAGTTTCTCTCGTTAGTGCGTCCTCGGGAGTTCAATGTTTTGCTCTTTGATTTATTTGCCTAAATTTGCGTTTATTTTCTAGATGACTTTCATGGAAGCAGCAATGCACCCTGATAGGAAAAGAAGCTACTCTATGTTTGTCAATCTTCTAAATGTAATGCTCTGTTTACTTTTGAATGCATTTATACGTGCGTGTATTGTTGAAACTGTTAGAATTTTGCATGATAAATTCATATCATTTGTTGATGTTGTTGAACGTATCGTTTGTTGACATTGTTTAACACAATCTTTACGGCTAGTGAAATTTTTCCACGAAAAATATTCTTCTGTTCTCTGGTCATTAGAAATTTTTGTTTAACCTATTACTACATGCATCTTCTTTTGCAGAAAACAATCATTTTAGATAGGTTACCATACAAGCGACCTCACACAATGTTTTGGCCGACAAACGAGGCCATCACGAGCCTGCCCGAAGATATTCGGTCGCAGTTATTTAATAACATGGAATACGCTCGGAAGATCATCTCGTATCATATCATCGATGGAACAAACGTAATACATAATTCAATCGTATCAGTTTTACAAATATCGCTTTAAACAATGATTCTTGACCAACTAAATGTGGGAATGAACATACTCAAGTTTCTTTTCTTTGCTAAAGAAGTTTCGATTTAAATAATGCCTTCACAGAAGTAAGCACAATTGCTTATTTGCTTGCTACAATAGCCGGGAATTAAGTGTTAGGTTCACGAGTTTTCTTGCAATACTGTGTAGTGTATTTTGAATCATCTTCAACTAAAAATGGTAATGATTCGCTAATTAGATTGGTACGAAAATTCTCCTTATTAGATCAAAGTATTTTTGCTATATAGGTTTAAAAGTTTGGTTAGAATATTAATCGACAAATCATGGTCCATATTTCATCATAACAACGCAAGTCAAGTGACTCTTACGTCTATATATTCACACACACTTACTCACTGATTGGGATTTTAAAATCACCTCAAAACGATTCGATAACGGTATTTTAACTCCAGTGAATTAGTTTGCCATTGGTTGGAATGAGAACAATTTCTGTGTTGCTCTCATTGAGCATGAGTGTTTGTTAACTTTTGCAATACAGGCGTTAGTCACTGGACGTTTCTACACAGAGTTTATTTGACCATTTATTCGTTGCTTTCTTGGTGAAGTTGAAATTTATGTTCCGTAATTGTTATGTTTAGGTGACAGCAACCGAGGTTCTTGGTTATGCTGGCGGTTTGTGGAGGAAAACGCGCGCGAGATCATCTGTTTTTGTGTCGTGCATGGGAGGCAAGGTTAGAAAATTTTTTATGAAACAACCTGGTTTTTCTTATTTGGCCGTTGATAATGTTTTACGTTTATACGTTTAGTGAAGATAACGTTTGATGGTTGTGTTGAAACTTTTATTGTTATGTCTTCGTCAAAACTCAAAAGTGATCCGATATATTTCAATTTTAAGATTTTATATTCGTTTCATCTCCCTAACATTACGCCACACTTACCTATAGGAACATACGTTTGTCCTCAATGTCAGGAAGCATATTACAGTTTTCGTCAATTGTAGCAGTATTTAATATGACGTCATAAACTAAGAAAAAACAAGGTGTTTCATTGGAAAAGATAGACGTGTAGATGTCCATGTTTTTATGGATCGTCTACGTTCTATGTGTGTACTGTTTCTAAAAATAACCCCTCCACAATTAACGTTCTATAGTGATGTCCCCTGACTGACAAAAGCAGATGATGTTTCTTAAGTTGTTTTTTTGATGCATTCACTCGGTTAACAAGTGGCTGTTTAAAGTACTTTCTATTGCAATTATCTCACTGAGACAATATTATATATTTCCTTGTTGAAGGGTGATTTCTACGTGAACGGACGAAGTCGAATTGTGGAACGCGATATAACCTTCTTGGAAGGTGTTGCTTTTGGAATATCTCAAATGTTGCTACCCGCAGGAATCGCGGGAAGATGTGACAAAATCGTTGACGAAAAATTCAAGGTTCGAAATTGGTTTTCATGGGTTGTCTGCCGGCTTCCCTTGGATTTTTTGATGGGATATCTGCATGACTCTGTTCGACATTTTAACGGGATATCTGCCTCTCTTGGATTTTTGTGAACAACATGATAAATTTTAATTTGAAAAATGTTGTTTTCTGCAGGGAAGGTGTACTGCTTGCTTTGATTTTGGATCCTGTCCACCCGGTTCGACTTTATTGGTAAGATGTTTTTATCATTTTGTACGCATCTTCCTTTGTGTTTATCCGCTTAAGTTTGACATTTTCCAAATTTTCAGGGTGTTACGAACTCCTCGTGTCTCTATGAAAAAAACATCCTTGGTTGTTCGTCACTGTGCACTAGACGGACTACGACCCGAGAATGTTGTAAACATTTTTATGGCGCCGACTGTCAAGGTAGCATTTTACCCGTGTTTATTGTGTAAAGTATAAAGAAAATACGTGGCATTATCCCCAGGAAGGATTACACTGACACAATGTAGCATCCGAAGACACGTTGGCCAAAAGGCATGCGTCTTGTTTCTAACTTTTACTTGTAACAGGTTTTCAAACAGTTCTATTTGCCTCATCAATGTTTCACAAGAATTTTAAACTCATTACCTTGACCGCATCTCTGTTTTATTAAACAACTACTTGTCGTGTGGACAGCATTGAACTCCGAATATCATGTGTTACATGGCAGGAATATTAGTGTTAAGATAAAACTGATCATTTGAAAGGAGTCCTTTGTTAAATTATAAGCTGCCTACGACTGCGCGTGTTTTTCTAATAAATAAATCTATTTTGTGCGTAATAATCTTTATTTATTTCTGCTGATCTTAATCATCTGTCTCGCACAGATTGATCAATCTCGCACACCTATCCGTAGTTGTGTTCTGCCTATGGTTAGTTATGGTTGTCAACCCTGTTTTCCTTCTAAACATTGCGTTTGCCGTTGCTAACGGTTATTGGTGGCTCCGTTTGGCCATAGATGAAATCAAATTTCCGAATTTAAAAATTGAAGGTTTTGATCTTGCGAGGCAAATGAATGATTTTTGCTGTATGACCTTGCAAGTCCACCTGTTGTTATTTTGACACTTTTTGTTCAGACACCTAACAGCTGGGAGGAGTTGTTTGAGAGACTATGCACTACCACCCATAATTTTGTCTCCATTTTGTATTTTTTCTTGATCCCCTACTTTCAACCAACTTGGAGAATTTAGTGGTTGATAGCCCCCACCCCCTCAAAAAAATCATGACATGCACTCCCCTACGACTGCACGATGTAATGAAATTTGTTTTTGATTTCTATTTTTTCTGCTTCTAGCGTGCCCTGGCGGACTAACACCATGCTCAGGAATTGGTGAATGTAATGATGGATTGAGCGGAAATGGAACTTGTTTCTGTCACGAGTCTCATTTCGGACGAAACTGTGAAAAATGTGGCTCAAATGTATCAAAATGTAGTAAGTAACTCTGGGTCATTTGAAAATGATAGGATAAATGTAACTGTCACTTTCATTTGAAATGAGGTCTGTTTGCTTGGCTCAGCGTTTATATATGCATATGGTGGTCAAAACAGTAGCTGCCCCCTCCCCATGCATATGGTGGTCAAAAAGTAGCTGCCCCCGCTCCCCATATGGTGGTCAAAAGTAGCTGCCCCTCTCCCCATGCATATGGTGGTCAAAAGTAGCTGCCCCCGCTCCCCATGCATATGGTGGTCAAAAAAGTAGCTTCCCCCTCTCCCATGCATATGGTGGTCAAAAGTAGCTGCCCCTCCCCATGCATATGGTGGTCAAAAGTAGCTGCCCCTTTCCCATGCATATGGTGGTCAAAAGGTAGCTGCCCCTCTCCATGCATATGGTGGTCAAAAAAGTAGCTGCCCCCCGTTATAGATTGTCAACTATAACGTTAATTCGAGCAATTAAAGGAAAATTGAGTTTTAGCAAATAGCAGGAATACTCATGTGGCCATGCTTCTGTAAGAAAAGCAACAACTGTAGATATTAATTCAAGTAGCTTCGTTCGTTATTCATTGCATCTATTTCAAAGTATTTGTAAGAGCTTGTGCCATTGTACAACGCGATAGTTTGAAATAACCACACTCGTGTGTTTGTGGTCATTTTCCTGTTGGAACAAACAAAATCAAATGTATCGTAAACAGTTAATCTGTGCCATTCAGTAATCTATTGACGTCTTCTAGTAACTATACAATTTCAATAAGGGAAGTATCTTTTGTTCACTCATTGTATACAACGTGGGATTGATGAATGGTATATTTGGGTTTGCAGGAGATGGAACTTAAATAGGGCTACGTACCACAACATGCCATTTTGTCTGATTCTTGTCTTTCGTACTCCAGCCTTGTGTCTTGCATCAAGTTTCAGTTCTCAGGCGCATCTTTTTTTGCAGTTGAAGCCAAAGCAGAGGTGTGCTCAGACCGAAAGTATCCATGTTCGATATTTGCTTCGTGTGACATAACACGTCCACAGATGTGTCAATGTACAAACGGTTACGAAGGGACGGATACTATTGCCAAGAAATCGATAGATGTTTGAAGAATAATGGGGTGTAATGACAATGCAGTTTGTCGATATGTCGGACCGGTAAGACAACGTTAGGTTGCACTGATTTTGTGATAGCTGATTTTATCGTTTTGATTTGTCCATGTACTCTGCTAGGCTTGACTGATTTATTGTTTGTAGAATCTTACACGATGTGAGTGTCGATCTGGCTTCGTTGGCAACGGTATTGACTGTTTAGCGTTACCACCCGATCATCCATGTTTAGTAAACAACGGAAATTGTGATCCGCGAGCTTTTTGCACCGACGAAGGTGATTGTCATATACTATGTTACCTGATTTATTAAAATATGTGATACGAATATACGAGTATATCGTCCGAGAGAACTGTCATCAGATAAATGTTCTTAAGCCTGTTTTTGCTGGCTTCTTTGCCGTAAATATCAGCGGTGAATTCAATTCGATCTTCCACTCCTACAAGCAATTCTTCAGCGACATTTGCTCTTCATTTCTTTAGATAATTCATTCCGTTGATTGTTTTTCTAGTGAATGAACACTAAAATGTTTGCATTGTAGGATGAACAACGAGCTGGCTTCGACACTGCATGACATTTTTGTTTCCGAATTCAAAAACTCGAGGGCATGGAAAATCTTTGCAGATTCGTAATAATTGAATTATTAGTTCATTCCCAGGCAATGATTTATTCAAGAATAGTGTCGCATTTCCACATAATTTTGTCTTGCAACACAACAAAAAGTCAGAGCAAAGCTAGAAAGGTAATTGGGGAAGGGGTGGTGAATATTCATATTTTCAGCTCTGACAAAACTGTTTTTTTCATATGGATTGCTATTTGAAAAGAAATCAGTCGGGCGCAGCAATATATGAATATTCACCCGCGCCCCAACCCCAGTTAGTTTCCTTGCCAAAAGTTATTGTTGAACTCTCGACTTGGACTGTGGTTCAAACCTTGTCCTTGTTGACTTCACATTTGTCGCTACTTAAAAATTTGCGAACTTGGTCTAACACGAAATGAGTGGACTCTGTACAACAACTTTACACTGTTGCACCGTTTCGGTTGTAGTAACGTGAAGTACGTACAAATCAATTTCGTGAAACGTGTACTTCGATTGAATGTCACGAAATCATAACATTGCAAGAGGGCTTTTCGCGATGCATTATTTTTAACACAAGTCTTAGTGACAGCATTTTAATGATATTTGCGTGAAGCAAGAGGGTTCCATTTCATATCAATGTCAATTTTCGTCTCAGGTGGTCGAGCCAAATGCCGCTGTCCAAAAGATTTTATAGGCGATGGGTATTACTGCTCTGGAAGTTTGATGAGTGTAAGTTACAATATTTCCTCCCGTTTTCTCAGTTGTCTTCAATGTTTCATTTGTTTGTATGTTTTGTACAGTTGAACACGGACGTTAGTTCAAGGTTAATTAAGTGTAACCACTTATTTATATATTCTGTTATGTCATGCTGATTTCTTTTGAAAGTGATATTGTTTTGAAAACAAATTTACCAGGTATAGCAAAATACTTGAATATGCCCCACAAAATAAAATTAACGTAGGATTGACGCCAATGCAGTTCAATTCTTGCAAATGTCCAGCACTCTGTTGAGCAAGCTTATACAGAAGTCTTTAGGCATGTGCTAATGGTGTTTTCACTTAAATTCAGAACAGTTTAACCCATTTGAAAATCTTGTCCAAAATATTTCACTCATATAGCATTTCACCTGTATGTGTAAAATACGGATTCATAATTTTTCATTCAACATCCTTGTAGATCATAGACTATGTCGAAGAACTCAGCGATTTTTCTAAGGTAATATTTTATCAAAATCATGAACGGGGATGTATTAACTGGGGGGGGGTCGCCACTGAACGTCTTTCTATTCATTTATGTCATTGGTTTTCGTATGAATAAAATATTTTCTTAGCGGCAACCCCAAACAATTGTGATTTATTGTTTAAGAATGTTTGTCAACCACGATGCATTCCGCGCTACTAACAGCTTGACGGCCATTTTGTGTGTTGAGGATATTGCGAATTTTGTTATTGAAGTTCATGCAACTTAGATAGACTATAGTAATTAATGTAAAATGAAGTTTTCAATCAATGTTTTTTTCTAACTTTTCAGATAAATTAGACGACGTAGTGACAAAATTGAATTCTGTGTACTGCAAGCTTAATAAACTAACGATGTAAACATAAACAAAGGCGCGCAATGCATCTTGGTTGACACACATTCTTTAATATTGTTAAGACATGTTATTTTTGCAAAAACCGAATAAGTCGAATAACAAAAATAGAAGACATTAAAATCATTTTGAAGAATCCTGTTTGAAGTAAAATTATGTAAAATTAATTTTTTCATTCTTAAACGAAGAGCCCCTTAAACTGTGCAGCATTTGCTTTTCAACATTGACGTTTGCATGTTTCTTCCTAAACCATAATTTGTATTTACCGAGAAAGCTCTTGATAGTTTTCCAATTCCACGAAAGTTTTTTATATTAAAACATTGATATTGAACAGAAAGGTTGTAACTGTTTCACGATATCTTTTGAATTATTCTATTAAATTATTCAGTCAATGAACTAAAGTAAAAGTTCGTACAGAGATTGAGCAACAGAAGTTTTGTTTCGTATGCGCTTCGGGAGAATTTAAACATATTTGTATCATTTTAACTTTTATATCACAGGCTTTCAAGCAGTTGCCCCATGGTAGAGCATATGACTTCAAGCTACTTTTGTCTGGTAAACAGAAGTACACAGTTTTCGCTCCCATTAATTATGGCCATGTTAAGGTTAGAATTAAAGCGGTTTGCTGTAGAGTCATCGCATATATTCAAAGTAGAAAATTCTTTTCTGTTATAATGACATAATTAAATGCTCCTGTCTATAATCTTCGTTGTAATTGATCTGATGTTGAAATTAAAGGGTCTGTAAACTGGATTAAGTGTATATTTTTACCATTGGCGCTTTACATTTTTGTTCTTCTAGAAAATGAACTTAGATCTTGTAAAGAACCACATTGTGAAAGGATATATCTCCCTCCCCCCTGGTCAGACAAAAGATGTCCAAACTCTGAATGGGACTCATTATACTCTTTCTTCTTCTAAGGACGTAAGTGATAGGACGACTTGACTTTCCCTTATTAAACTTTATTGAGATCCCACATCGGCGCTTTTTTGATGGTGATAAAATGTGTTAACGGTCTGATGATGTGATCCCGCACGTAACCGAGATTCGTATAAACGTTATGTAATGCCATGTTGGGAGAGTACATCGAAGCGGCCATGTTGGGGAAGTACATCAAAGTGCCGATGCTTAACAGAGCATGAAATTAACATAAATTCTTTTCATTCTATGATTTTACTTGCCTTAATTGGTTGTTGGTACCCAAGGCGCCAACTCAAAGGTTTACTAGCCCTTTAGCTTTGGGGCACAACGTGTTATTCTGATCTTTGCTCGATTGCAAGGAGCATAAACATTTGTAAGGAAAACTGCCTATAACACTTATTGGAGGTGCAGAATTTTGAAATTGAACCATGATTTTTTTTTCTCGATGCGTATTGAGTAAACCTTTAAAAGCCTGGCTGTTTGGCAATAATACCAATTATTTTATGGCCAACGTCACGTCCGGCAAAATGGCGCTCTTTGATTGGTTCAGAAACATTTTGTCGGTCTATTATTTTCCCGTTATGGACCACGGTCCAATACGCGTGATTTTGCAATTACATGTAAACAAACTTCGTAAAGCAATCTGAAAAACGCAAAAAAAGACATTTAGGAATGTTAGTCGAAGGAAAACACACTCGGAAAATGGAAAACAGTTCAATTATCCAGACGATACAATTTCAAACGATTTATTTATCAGGTGAAATAATGCCTTATAATAAACCTTTATTAACCTCGTTTTTTCGGTCTTCACTGAGAGATATTGCCTCACGGGCTTGGTCTGTACAAGGGTCACGTTAGAAGAGCGTTGAAAAAGCAGAATAGTGTTCGACAGTTAGGATGTGTTAGAAATAACGAGTTGATGCAGTAAACAGTGGTAATTATACCAGATGATTACACGGATCTCTCCAATTTTCCATCATCGTAAAGCGCTTTACTGAATCTCAGCGCGAATATGCGAACAGTCCCATTTAGTCTCGGCGTCATGCAATACCGTTTATCAAAACGTTTAAGTGTCGAGTTCAACGTATTTTTGTTTTTTTATTGACAGGGAAAGACAATGAAGATCCAAAACTTTGCGAAAGTGAAGTACGAAATTCCCGCTCGCAATGGCATGATTTACGTCATTGATCACGTGCTAGTGGTACGTTGCCTAAAGGAAGCAAATGGCCATCTTATATGCTAAAAAAAGTTTTTAGCGAAATTGTATTGTTGTTCCCATTCCGTATCGTTTGGTGTATAGACTTTCTTTTTATGTTTTCAGCATCGTACAGTACATCCACACAATCAAGAAGTTCCAGTACCCAAGGTAAAATGGCCATTCTACTATCTTAAAAGCAGCAAACTGTAAAAGCTTCTTTATCGTCTGTTGCTGCCCTGATTTCTATATCATTTTCTAGCATTTTCCCGGATTTTTAAATCATATGCTAGCAAGGGAAAGCTAATAGCTAAATCGCATGACCATGCCAATTTTTTTAAGCAAACTATTTAAATACTGACCGATTTTTTGTTGCACAGTTATGTATAAGGTTGGCGATTCAAGAATGTGGAAATGTACTTAATTGTTGCCTTCTGATGCTTCTGACATTCGCGGATACTTTCCCGTGAATTATTGTGTTATCGTTTGTTTTCAAGTGTTTGTGACGTCAAAACGTGACGTCTGTTGACGGAATGCTTGTATTGGCTAAAGCCTAAGCGTGTTATCCACATTAAGAGAATGTATATTTTATGCATTTTGTGTCTGTCCATCCTTGTTGCATGTCATTGGCAAGGATAAATGAACAATGTACCTATAAATGAAGTACAAGTACCAATATTCTTTATTTATTTCCACTAAACGGGCGAAAAACTAAAATTTTCTTGTACACTTGTGTAGCCAACCACGCCCAGCACGAGAAGTCCCCCAAAAGCTTCAAAAGGCGTCAAAACAGTGAGTCTCTTTCTAGCTCATGTATTTTTGTTAAGTGGTTTTTTGAAAACTCGTTTCACGTAAACCAAGATATCTAATATAGATGCCTGTACGAAACGAACAAGAGATAACAAACTTCTCATAGCTTTATTTCTTTTAATATCTTCCAACCGCTAATATGTTGCTAAGTTGGTTAAAAAGCAGCGTATATTCGTGCATTTCCAACACCGATTTTTGAGATGAGAATCTAAGTGCTCAGTAACTCCTTAAATTTTGTCAAGGTATCTCTTGGAGAATATTTAGGCTATTCTGAAGTGTACCTGCCCAACTTTATTCTCCATACATTGCTATATTTGATATCATAAAAAAATGTCACACCCATAGATCTTGTTCCGAATGTCCTGTTTTATGATACCATCGAAAGTTATTCACTGTTTAACTTGTTTTGTGAACAGTAAACAGAAAACTCATTGTTCACAACTCTTATCGTTTCTATTCGTTGCACTTTTCTACTTCAAGTAGCAATGCCAGCCCGTTTTTTACTTCTGCGATGCATTTTTTTGTGTTCAGTCGCTTGAACAATGAATCGATTTATCCCAAGACATTGATGATAATTTTGCAGGAAAAGGAATCAAACAATCGGCTGACTTCGCTATTTCACACTACATAGTGCATCAGAAAAACTGCACGTCTTTGAAATCACACAAGGCTTAGAATCGACATGATTTAGTTGTAATTGATCCCCTAAGACCTACGAATTGCAGCTACTGTACATACATTGCAAAGTTCAAGCATGAAATTCATTGCAATTGCGTTTACTCTTTCTCGAGGATCAATTATTCCTGAATCATGCAACTTTTCAACGTCAGCTGATTTCAAGGATGAGCAGCTTTTTTCATACACCGCGTATAGGAAAAGTTTCCAAAAACCTATTTTCCCAATCCAGGAATAACTTTGGTTTTTTGAACACGTTTCTAAAATGTTTGACCAAGTTATGGCAATGAAACGTAAACTCATCGTCTTGCGGATCTGTCAACCGACAACTTTATTCTTTATCTTTAGAGTAAATATATGATTATTGGCATTGTCTTGGGCGTCGTTGTGGTTGTTCTTTGCATTGCAATCGCGATTTTCATGTTGAAGCGAAGACGCTCATACAATATCAAGTATCAAAAGGTAATGTCACTCCTAAGTAATATGTTTGTTTCCTTTGTTCGTGGGATCATTTTACTATCATGCGTCGTGCCAATAGCCATACAGCTCTGGTTTCCGTTTTAGTGCTTACTTGTTAACAACTGTGCTTGCGAATACATGAAAATAGTTTTCAGATGAGGACTAGTGTAGAAATATTTTGGTTCAATGGAAATTACAGAGGATTGACTTATTCATAAGAATTAACTTAGAAGAGAAAATTTTATTATTCTGTTGAAAGCTTTGATGGCGATGATCTAGAACCCAATCTACTAGATATCTGACTCCGCCGAAATGCTATAGTTACGAGTGAGGCAAGCTGCCATTTTGATTTTCCTGAGTTGATATACAATTGCAAAGTTGATAGTCTAAGTTTGATTTTTAAAATGGTCGATAAGATTGTTTTTTGAACTTTATTCGAGCTTATTTTTGACTTTGAGTTTTAAAATAGAGACTTTGTCGTGGTGACAAGTCTGAAAATAGTTCTAAAGATAGCAAATACCATAGCGAATGGTAAAAGTAATATAATAACTTGATAGTTCTTAAAAGAACTGTTTTAAGTAAAGAGCACTAACCCAATAGTTCTAAATTAAACGACACGATATATTTCGGCAGACTACTCCTCAGGTGTCAACGTCTGCTAAATGAAAATTTACAATCTATTGATACTTATAATGCCAAGAAAGAGAGTACGTCATCTCCAAAAGGGGAGATGACTTTGAGTTTTAGTTTTTGCCATCTTTCAAGATGGCGCACTTGCCTCACCTTGAAGCGATAGTTAGAAATCTAAGGGATTGGCCTCTAAATCATCGTTCGATGGTAACTTGACGTGGAAATAATGACCTTAATATTTAACCTTACTTAGTATAAATACAATTGCCCGACATGAAAGTTTTTTTAGTAAGGCCATGAATGATTTTTTAACCATACTGCTGATGATAATTGGTAGAATAACCGTATATGAATAACCAAGTAGAATAACCATACTACTGGGAGAATTGATAATAACCACCAGGATTGTTAACCATACTAATGTAGAAGGTTTTATGCCAACATGAATAGATAATAACCACTATGATCGTTAACCATACTACTGTAGGTATCATGCCAACGTGAATGGATAATAACTTTAATCTTTATCCAAACTGTCAGAGCTTTGATTCTAATAGATAATAATTTCTAACCATACTATAGGAGATTTGATGATAATAATTAGATAATAACTACCATGATCTATAATCATACTGTAGGAGTTTACGTGGTAGCATGAGTAGATAATAACTACCATGATCTCTAATCATACTGTAGGAGTTTACGTGGTAACATGAGTAGATAATAACTACCATGATCTCTAATCATACTGTAGGAGTTTACGTGGTAGCATGAGTAGATAATAACTACCATGATCTCTAATCATACTGTAGGAGTTTACGTGGTAGCATGAGTAGATAATAACTACCATGATCTCTAATCATACTGTAGGAGTTTACGTGGTAACATGAGTAGATAATAGACACCATGATCTCTAATCGTACTGTAGGAGTTTGCGTGCTAACATGAGTAGATAATAAATACCATAATTTTGTCCATACCGTGTGGGATTTGATGTTATCGTGATTAGATAATAATATTATGTCAATTCATACTGTAGGAGCTCTGAGGCTAACATGAATATATAATAATTACCATGATAATAATCCATACTGTAAGAGTTTTGGTGGTAACACAAATACATAATAATTACAATGATCTCTAACCATACTGTAGTAGCTTTGATGGTAGCATGAGGAGATAATAATAACTACCAGAATCTCTAACCATTCTGTAGAGGCTTTGTTGGTAACACCAGTAGATACTCCAAGAATCTCCAGCCAAACTGTCGGAGCTTTGACTGCTGCATGAATGATGAAAAAATAATGAGATGTAACAGCATTATTTACGGTGTCCGTTATGATTGAAGTTTTTATTAATTTGACCGTTTATATACCTTAAGAGGCATCATAAAAGGAAGTCAATAGCTCTAGCACAAAGGCATGTTTTCATTAAAGACGTTGAACAAAGAAATTGCTTTTCTTTTGGTGGGCAGACTGCCTTATCGCATGTACCTACCCATGGTTCGGCACAAAGCTTTATTTTCTTATGAATAGTCAATGATGCATAAATATATCATTTTATGTTGCTTTCTTAAAAAAAATACAATAATATCATTTGTCCTTGAAATCCTGGTACTAACCTTGGGATCTTTATACTTTTCCTGAGATCATTGTGCATTCATTTGGATCTTCGTATTCCTTGTTGCGTCACTGTGCAGTCCTTGGAATCTTCGTATTCTTCTTGGTGTCATTGTACGTTTCCTGGGATATTTATGTTCTTCGTGGGATCATGCAACGTTCCGTTGGATCTTTTTGTTCTTTGTGAGATCATGTAACGTTCCCTGGGATCATTTTGTCTTTTTGTGGGATCATGTAACGTTTCTTTGGATCTTCTTGTTCTTTGTGGGATCATGTAACGTTCCTTTGGATCTTTTTGTTCTTTGTGGGATCATGTAACGTTCCTTTGGATCTTTTTGTTCTTTGTGGGATCATGTAACGTTCCTTTGGATCTTTTTGTTCTTTGTGGGATCACGTAACGTTCCTTTGGATCTTTTTGTTCTTTGTGGGATCATGTAACGTTCCTTTGAATCTTTGTGAGATCTTGTAACGTTCCTTTGGATATTTGTGAGATCATGTAACGTTCCTTTGGATCTTTTTGTTCTTCTTAAAATCATTGCATGATCCTTAGTTGTGATCTTTTTGAAGTCTATGGAGGTTTGATCTTCCGTTGTGTTGAATAATTTATAGGATTTCCGAAATCCACGCCGTGATCACAATGGCCAAGCAGATGGGGATTGCGCAAGTGGTGGCGACGAATATGTGCCCCAAAGGCTATGGGTTAGAAATTAAAACTATCTGTTTCGCAGATTCGCTTTTCATACAATTTTTGAAAAAAATTTGACAGATGTGACATGTCATCATTGTTATTTATCTTTATCGACTCATCGACTCAATACTTTATCTGAGTATGTTTCAGACTTTCAGTTCATCCCGAGTTATTTAAATGTCAATGGGAAAATAATTCAGTTTAGGATTCAACCCTGCTCCTTTCATCCAATTGGTTTTTTTTTGGTGACTTGAAGGCTTGAAAACGGTAGTCAAAACGACAAATACTATCTATGTGCGTTCATACATCCGATTTTAAATTACTGTGTGTAACAGTTTGAGTTAAGTGAACGGCAATCCTTTTGAAAGCTTTATATCCAGTTTGCACGGATAGTTTGTAAATCGAAAGACAGCGTCGGTACGATGAATTTTTTGAAGTGAGAACTCTTTCGAACGGACCTATAACATCACATTTTCGCCGAACACAATTTCATTGTAGTTGGTAAATATATTAGCGCAATTTTTAGAAAGTTCTTTGATCATAAAAAGGTAGCTACATTTTAACGGGCAACCGGGCCGAGTGATCATCTTTACCTAACTAGAGTTTGAACAGTAATACTAACTTCTGCTATAGTAAACTGTTAACAATGCTATTAAAAAAGCAATGAGTAGTAGCTAATTACCAAAAAAGAAGTTTTTATTTTAGTCTGTCTATAATACATAACCAACTTCAACAAAAGTTACGACTGCAAAAGAGTATTTTAGTAATCTTTATAGATTAGATTATGTTTACTTTATACGGAGTGTCTATTGTCTTGTGTTTTACTAAAACCTAAACGATGCTGATAACTTTTTAATTTCTAATTGAATATAAACTTAAATTATTCTAGATTTATGTATTTTTCAGCTCTTTTAGCTATTACGTATAGATGCATACATCTATTTTCCGTTTATAGCTGTATATAAGAGCTCCTATTGATAGCAGTGATTTTTGTCGCTGAAATTGACAATACTACTCTCTTTAAATAAATTTGTAGTAATCGCAAAAAAGCTGCTTGAATAGTGATTGCAAAAAAGTTTTTATTTTATTGGTTCAATAATATGTAACAAACTTAAACAATGCTATTAACTTCTTAAATTAATTCATCTCAAATTATTTTAGTATTTATTGATTTATGAATTGTTAAACTTTTGTGTATGGATTCATATATCTGTTTTTTGTTTGTATGTATCGGAGCTCCTCTTGATAGCAGTGATTTTGTATCAGACAGTACTGCTCACTCACTGTATAAAAACATTAGATTTCTAAAAAGAAATGAATAAAGCTATTGATCTTAAATCTACACGGCACGACCAAAAGTGCTAGCTGTCTTAAGCCACATCTCCCTACTAAATCAGTATCCCGAGACGCAATCGTGCTTCATACATGAAAAAAATGGTTTGGGTTCACTATGTTTGTATGAAATTAAATATGCGTATCAGTAACGATAAATTTCTTAACATTTACAGCATCCATCAGCAGAGCAGGGAGATACACTCCGCAATCCAATCTACATTGGAGACGACTCCCCTGATGACGCATTAGACTTCGAAATGACAGAAAGCAGTGTCGCACCGCTGGTCTGTATTGATGTAGCTTTTATATAAAAGACCTCTTGTACACGACATAAAGAATACCTTGTATAATTTCTGATACAATAGACCAATGTTTGATTTAGTTTTGCTACCCTAAATTTCTAGGTATATGTCATTTAAAGCAACTAAGGGCTTTGTGACCTCTTTTAGGGACTCTGTTCTGAACGACTGAGGGTAACGAAACAGCACTATGTGCCAGCACGAAACAGCACTTTTTCCAAATACTAAGTGCTTAGTCAGGGACCTTGGGTTCTATTTTGCGCATTTGTGTGCCACAGAAGAGACTACCGGCTCTGTTATAGTGCTTTCTTAGATACGATGATTTTGCATGATGTGTTTCATTCATTTTGCTTTTTCTTTCGTTTCTTCTTTAATTGATATGAAATTTAAAAAATCTCTCATATTATTTTAGACTGAGTATGATGCTGTTTCACTTTCGAAGAAGGTAAATTTCAAGGGTTTGCGAATATATTTTTCAAAATAAATCGTTTCACTTCGTTAAGAAAAATTTGCTGGTGAAAATTTATTTAGCTCCAAGCCTCTCTTAGCTCCCCTCAATTTCTTAATAATCTCCAACCTGAAAGGTGGCAAAAAATAGACCCTCGGGTGAAGCTGAATAAAGAAAATGCGGCCATTGAGTGTTCGCATGTGATGTCAACAAGGCGGCCTTGTTGGTGGATTACATCAGAGTCCCGATGGCAATGGTTTAGAACCCAATCTTCTAGATATCTAACTACCGTGTCGACAATGACGACAGAGTATATTGACGTTTTACTTCTTAAAGAACGCGTTATATCGCTTCTTAAAATGATTAGATCAATGATTTAGGACCGAATCCCCTAGATATATGACTACAGTCTCAAGGTGAGGCAAGGACGCCATCTTGAAAAGTGGCAAACAGCAAAACTGAAAATGAAAAATAAGTTAAAACAAAGTTTAAAAAACCCATCCTATCAAACATTTTAAGAATCAAACCAAGACTATCAACTTTGCGACTCAATATCAAGTCAGCAAAAGAAAATATTAGTCGTAAATATCGTCAATTTACCACATTTCAAGATAGTGGCCCTCCTCGCTCATTACTAGAAAATTTCGGTGGAGTCAGTTATCTAGTAGGTTGGGTTAAAGGCCGATGCTCAATAGAACATGAAAGTAACATAATGGGATTTTAGCCCATTATGGCGACCGATGAAAACACTCTATTGGCATAAATTTGCTCACGTATGTAAAACACTTTTTCGAGTAGAGCATTGCTTTTACAATAATAAAAGTACTTTACAATCATTGTTTGATTACGTTCGCAAAGTTTGCTATAAAAATGGGGAAATTATGTTTTCTGTCACACTTATTAACACAAACTTTTTATTTTTCAGCCCAAGTCCTAGTCCAGCTCATACTTGCGACAAGTTATACTTGGTCTATTTCCAAATCGCAACATTTAACTTTGTGGTATTTTTTCTTTTTAATGTAGTTACTAGTATTGTATTTTTTGTTATTGACTCTATTATTTTAACTGTACGATTAGAATTCTTAATAATTTTTACGTTGCGTTTATGCCATCCCTTCAAACTTCTATTTTCAATAATTTTTGGACTATATTGCAACAATTGCACAATTGAAAATGCTAGTTTTCAATAATTTGAATGCATTGAATACATAACAAGAAAAATATCTCTCTCTTTCTCTGCTTGGTCTTGCAAGGTTGCCTAGCCAGCATATTTCCTACCCAGCCCGATAATTTTAGGGCCCATATTTATATATGCTTGTTATCATCCGTAGAAAAGGAACATTAGACAGCAAATTATACATATATGAATGTTTACAACCCCCAGTTATCGAGTTAGCTGCACCATTGTTTCATATTTTTTTCAAAATCGCTTGATTTCGTGAAGCATTCGTATCCTCGAGTAAACGAAAAAGATGTTTTATTAATGTTTTGAAGAACGGAGGGGACCGCTTGAGTTTTTAACTTATGTACAAATATATTGACGGCGAAGTTGTGCCGAAGATAGTGAGGGTTCAACTCAGCGACTATGGTTTTTAGAAGAAATTTTAATTGGCGTCCATGTTTTCGGTGTCCGTCATTTTTCTCGCAAAGTCTACCGTCATCTATATTCAAATGCGTCTTTGGGTGTTTACGTTGCAAAAACATCGTCATTGAGACTTCTTAATCAACACTTGTGACAAAGAAACTTGCTTGTCTGTAACTTCCAATACATTCAACCTTCACCTACCTTTATTTTTCGGTCACAGGAGAGATGATTAGTTTAAATGCGGAAATATAGAATTGCGAACAGAAAACCACGTTGGTTTACCATTACTAAAAATTTAACTTAAGATATGAAGATACAATGGTTTTTTTGTTTTCCTTTTCGTTCTCATTGTAAGCATTTGTTTAGAAAGTTTATGGCATGACTACGCTTTGAACAATGTACAAATACCATCAAGAGGAAGTACTTCATGTATGCGTATTATAACGTCTTGATTTTACTTTTTGATTTTTGGCCTTGGCGCCTTGTCTCTTTTACAGTTTAGAGAATGCTCGTTTTCATTCTAAATTGTCACCAATGATTATAGAAAGTAGTAATTCCTTCATTTTTACTTGTGACTTACCCATCATTTTACTTCTTTCTCAGTTGGTTACGCGTTTGTGTACTATTTAATATTTTATTATCTTACTGTTTATGCGATTACTCTTAAGCTTGAGGGGACGGATTATTTTAAAGGTACGTAATCACATAGGAGCAAGCTTGCTTTTCAAGACGAAACTTTTCTTGAGTTTGAGTTTTTAAGGGACATGCGCGAAGCAATGTCCAAGGGGAGATCTTTTCCCAAGTTCGCTACGCTCAAAGATGTGTAATCATCGATCAATATCGAATGGGAAAAACTTGGCATTCTGCCTCTACCTCTGCGATAGCATTCACGGGTGTTTTCATGCTAATTAATCTCATGGAAATGTGTTTCTCGATAATTCATTTTCCTATCGAAGCGTAGGCGTTGCGATAATTTGCACGAACTTTCCACGGCATCTGTTGTCCCTCATGCTTACAAGACAATTAAGTCTGGCGGCTTCCTTCTAACGAAACTTTCCAAAGAAGCTGTGATGCTGTTAGTTATTTACCAATGAATCTAAACCTTGTGCACACGATTTAGAGAAGTTCGCTTTAATCTTTATGGAATTTTTGGAGAGTTGGGTCGGTGTGTTATGTTTTTAACTGAACGTGGAATTTCCAAATGTGGATTACGTACAAAATTGTATACCAAGCTGTGGATATAATCTTACTTAGTTGGATTGTACTGTTGTTTGAATACGAAGAGGAGAGTGACTCGACAAAACCACAAGGTAAGTAGTTATTCATGTAGTTATCTCAATGAAAACGGGGAACCTATTACCACTGATCACGAGTATAAGCCATGCGTAGTTGCTTGCGCGTTCTCGGGGTCTTTCGTTTCGAGCTTTTATAATATGCCTGTAGTTTCTGCTTTCGCGATATAACTGTGGACATTTTCGGACATTACTGGGTCCTATTTGCGAGTTTCTTTCGCACTAGTAGGTGTTTCACAACTCAAATTATATTTTGGCTAAATAAATTCGTTGCTTTCGTGTATATGTCAGCCATAAACTAACGTCTGGTCTAATTTTTTCTGAAATAAATTAGCATTTTGACGGTTTCACGTGGTCTCGGACTCGTTGGAAAATTGCATCGTATACCGGTATATTTAAGTTCCTGTAAACAGTTTAAGGTGTTAAATTCATGTGATATAAATGATTGAAATAGTTTTTGCCAACATTGCATGGCATTCAATACGCATGTATTCCTTTTACCATATATTCCCTGCACATATATCTTATAAAACTTTGTAACATTTGGCAGCTCGATTATAATCTGCTTAAAACAATTCCGCGGCCATGTTTGTTTGGCTGCAAAAACGGAGCCATAATGTCAACGTCCGAAATGAACGAAACAGCAACCTACAAATAGGAGAAAATTCCTTTCTCGAAGGATAGACTAAGCAAGCGAACTTTAGGCTTGATTCCAACTAAAAAGATTCACTGCCCCATGATTTCAAGTTTTTATTATCACTCACGGTAATTCGTACACCACATTACGTGCATTCTGTACCTTTTGGATAACACGTTGGATAAAAGCAGTAAATGTAAAATTTTTCTATAGTTTTAAACATTCTTTTTACATTTATCGTCCGTCTTGCTTTAAACATGCAAATAAGGCACAATTTGAAATTCATGATATTTAGATTTTCTTCCTATTGCCTGGAGTGACGTACACGCTTTGATCTTAAAAACACCTGCAAAAATATTATTGTTTTTGTTGCATAATGAGGTGAAGGCTGCGAATTTTGAATTTTTTTATTCGAACAAGCAGCATGTATGCTTATCGAATCTACTAATGTATGTTCAAGAACTGGTCTCTGCTAATTTCTGCGAATCTCTTTCCTAACATGGCGCGTCTTCCCTTAGTATTTCCAATTGATGAATGTGCGTGTGTGTTTGCTGTTTTCATGAAACGTAGACTGCTGCGTATGAGTTTTGCTGTTATTGTTGATTTGAAAGTGCAGAAGAACAGCCTACTCCGCCATTGTTAAATCACTCGTGCCGGCGAAACAAGCTTGAAGGATATACTTTGTTTGAAGCAGAGATTACTTACGTTTGTGGAAGAAAATAACTCAAGTTCTCTACGATTCCATTTGCTATTGCTAAACTATAATCGAAAACCGTTTCAGTCAAATCATACCAAAGAACTTTCCAATATCGAGGCGTTTCGTCGAAGCTGTAGAAAATCTATATATGTTATGCTCGGTAGACTTTATTGGAAAAGTTTGTGTTTCTGGGCAAATGTTAATGTTTGATTTTCTTCAGTAAATCGGATTGTACGTACTCATTTTATACACGATAATCCTAAACAGTATTTTCCAACAATTATGTATATAAATACAACTACTAACTCTATTTTCTACGACCTTGAGTGTAATTTGTGCGATGATACTGATTGCTCGTAGCTCAATGTTAAAGTTTAAGAGTGAGCTAAAATTTTATGAAACATGGACTATTCCTTACGACTGTATACGAGTCAGTTTCTTGTCACTTGTGATATTTAGTTCTTAAAGATGCAAGTACATAGTTAGCTCACAAAAGGATAAGAGTTTTATATTCACGTGTATAATGTAAGTAAATTCCTTGGATTATGTAGCATTTTTGTATGACGTTTCTCAGTGGATTGAACACAAATACCTAATGACATAGCAATATAGCAATAGTTGTCTTGTAAGCTATCATTCATCAGAAGGACGAATTGCATGTATAGGCAGCATAGTAAAAAGAGGATATTTTGCGCTGATGAAACTGGCAAATTGTATCTCAGTTTTTAAGGAGAGATTACCTTCGGTGTTCCGTGCAGATTAATGCATTCATATTTAAACAACTCGACGGCATCAAACTAAAAATATGACAAAAAAATTCAATGTACGTGTATGCATTGCACGTCTGCGATCACAATGGGATCTTATAGAGGATAACTAAATTAACAATTTTAAGACTTTAATTCTCCATCATATGGAAGTTCGAGATGCATGCTTTTTTTTATAAAATATCTCCGTTATACAGTTGCAATTAATCGATATATACGGGCGTACGATATCAATTTAACCGAAAATATAAATCATGCGGTGTTTACATTTTGATTTTTTGTATTAAGTTCTGAGCCGTGCAAATCAGGTGCTGATATATTTCGAAACGTTTGTGCGTGTAATGGTGAGTGACTTTCCCCATTGCTGTATCGAGGAAGTAATGTATGAAGCTACATTTTGATGAAAATCGACTAATGTATTTTTATTCCACAGACTCAACTATGTAGCACAATTTCTTTCATGGCAACGGTGAATTATTGCAGACTCATGTGTAAAGTTGCAGACACATTTTATTCACAAGTCGCGGGAAGAACAGGCTGTCAAGATTTGATCTTTCGTCATTTTCTTTTATGGATGTCTCTCCAGCGATAAAACTGCCGGTGTGTAAGTTTGCACAAAAAATATTTGAAAATGTGCTCAGACATTGCAACTTTTGAAGGGCGCTCATAATCGTAAATACCAGCAAAGTTGTTCACAGTCGTGTTTATAGCTAACACAACATAGCCATAATCGACTACATTTTGCTTTCTCTTCCACAAATGGCAGAGATAGTTATACAAGTAGAAAGAGTTTGCAGCCAGCTCCTTAGTTGTACAGTGTTATATAGCTAAATTTGTGTACGATCCTTTATTGTAGCTTGAAGAAAGGTTTATCATATAAAGGCTTTGTAGGATTTGACTCGTGTTTGTACATAAAAGAATGAATCGTTCTCTAAGCAAATACATTGTTTATGCGACTCTTATTTTTACTTTCTAAAACAAGTTAGCTGTGTGAGGTGAACCTCAACAAGGAGCATTTATATGCGAGCGTGTTTTGTCATGCATATAGCGGGATAATACATATTCCACGAAATTCTTTCATGATTATTTCCATGCCCATTTCTGCCTTCTCTTCGCAGAATTTTCCATCCTTTCTATACTTCGTCTAGGTTGTGCTGTGGATATTTTCTCGGACAGAGAAACAATGTAGTTCAAAAAACAATTGCTAACGTTTGAAAGAACCTTCGAAATCTTAAAGGAAATAAACACAAAGGGAATCGCGTTACAACCATAACTCTTCAAATTTTCGTGTAGTCCATGATCGAATGATGCGTTTATATTCTAGATGAGATAAATACTTGCAACATTCTAAATTAAAGTTGGCGAGACCAACCACAAAAGCCTTTTGCATGAGACTGCCATTACATCACAACGTCATACTCTTTAAAAAGCAAATGTTTTTTTGCTCTAATTGTATAGCCGTCGCAATACAACTCCGCCATTGAGAAGTTATATACATCGGGTTCTATGATTTCGTGCAGCATGTCCTGGAATATTTTTGTTTTGTTTATTTCATGACAGTAAATTTTTTACAAGCGGTATCACTGTTCTTGAGTATCTTACAAACCCCCGTGCAGCTTTTGGTCTTCGTACGTTCAGTAAACGTGAACATGTTGTTTTACTATTTCGCAGACCTTATCTTTTTACGAAACTTTGTCCATTGCTGAGAAGTTACGCGGTCTTCGATGTTTTGGTTTTTAAGCATCGTTCGCTCTTTGAGTATTTAAGATTGTGCAATCGGAGAAATTTTTCTGATGTGTGTTTCGTGCGGAACGTTTGAAAACTCTTTGTCTCATATGGAGCTTATTTACTACTCTACAAGCGACAAAAACATTACGTAAGTAGTGATAGGGCTTCATGCAACACATCTTAGAGATGTGACGCAGTGAAAATAATCTGGAAGATACGGCTGTATTAGCGAATGTATAGTAACACAAAAGACGAACTTCAGGCGACTTATTGAAATGGAATGCAAAAAGATGTTACTTTTTCGGTCAATTTTTTAATATTGGCGACATCGAAAGGACCGAGTCATTTTTCTAGCTACATTATGTATATTTAAAAATGCCATGTAAATTCGCGTTCTTTCAAAATCATGAACGACACGTTTGATTATTCTTGGTGAAAACATTACGATCTTGTGATAAACTATCTTACTCCGCCATGTAGCATTGCGGGACCGTTTTCAATATGTTTTGTCTATTTCTCTTGTATCTGGACACGTGAAATTCAAGTTAAAGCACTATCAAACCTGAAAAATATTGCTTTACGTGCGTGCGTTTGGGAGAAAGTATTACATTTTCCCTCCATCTCATTGCTTTGAACTTTAATGAATGAAACTTTTCACCTTTTTTGCGCAAAACAGAAGGGAATACATGGCCGGCACAGCGATAAAAGATTCCAGCTGCATGCATTTTCAATGGAAGGCAGTCGGCATGACCCATTGTAGTCACGAATGCCTTACGCCAAATCTACACAATCTTTTATTAAACTTCATTCTTTTACATCAAGAAAAATATCAGGTTCTAAACATTGGCTTTTCCTATATAATACACGTTCAAAAATTTATCAAATGGTCGATTCGAGTTGAAGAGTCCCAAGCGTGGCGACGCTCTGTTTTGCATGAGTTTTATTGCGTGTGTGTGCAATTACGATTTTGTCGTCTTCTACAAACAATAGAGCATCACGACGAAAATAACGAAAAAATTTATTGCTCAACTTGAAACTTTTCCCCATTATTATAAGCGCGCAAAAATCATTCTTATCTCACACAGCCCATTACCTTGTTTAAATTCAGGTAGAAAACAGAAATGTCGAATTGCCACAATCCTCGTATGTTGCTCTAAGATTTTGGCTTCTTGGTCAACTTACTCTAAACTATTAGTTTCTTCATGCAGTGGTTGCATTATCAAAAAAACGCCAAAAATATATGACGCAGTGTTGCAATCGCAACCGGTCAACAACAAACACCCTATAAGGGGGGGATTTATAGGTTTAAAGTTGCACCAATTTTGGCAAAACGCCCGACATGTTTTCGTGTCGCATTATGCTCTAACGCAGCAATTGTAAACGCACATACAATCAAATTTTCTGGGGAATTAGCTACAGCACGAATTCTGCTTTTGATAGCTTAAAAAGTAGTACCCTGGAATGCATATCTACTATAGCGTGGGCGAACTCTGTGCCCTGTCTTATAGCCATCTTTTTGTACACGAGAGATAAATGTTTACGACTTAGACTTGGCCAAGGAGAACACGAATCGCTAAAACAACAGCATACTGCCACACTCTATCCCATGGCGTCTCGTCTCTTGCGTTATTCGTAGTCGAAAATCTTCTCACAAGCTCGTCCCCTGCATGCGCCAGCTCATGTGCAAGAGCTACAACGCTTTGGTAGTGCTCGTCATCATTCGCGAGGCCATTTTCTTCAACCGAATGATCGAAGTGATTTGGCAGGCCGTTTGGAGATACGTTTTCGAAGGCTTGCATTTCGGGCGAGGAAACTTCTGACGATTCTTCCATTCTGCACATTTACGTATAAGCTCTTTATGGCGACGTTAACCAGCTTTGATCGTCGACGATTTATTTTGGGGAAAAAAACAACAGTCAAACAACTTGTGACAAGTGGATTGCTCCTCTCTGTGGCGATATCTCAACTATGACTTCATGTAGAACTTTCTCTCCTCATTAATTATTCATTTTGAGCAACAATTAAAACCCTCCATTTTAGAGTGAATTTAATTGGTGCCGAATAATTTTGGTGAAAAAATCTATGCAGGTCAACGAACCAAATTGATAAACTTGAATGAATTGAATAAATTTCACTTCATAGTTGAACATTGGAAAGGAAATGAACAGAAAGTCCTTTACCATTTAAGAAATTGATATAAAATAAAAAAAGGCATTTGAGAGAACTCAAAGAAGTGATAATTAAAATTCAGGGCGTTTGCACGAAGCGCGTTATATTTTTCAACGCTTCTACAATTTCTGAAAAAGGAATAATCTACGATTTGAAGTGGGCAATTAACGAAATACAATATTGGTTCTTGAATTAAAACGTTTTCATTATCGTAAAGAAAATACATCCGTTTTTTTCACAATTTTGAAAAAATTACTATCCAATGGACAACGCTGTCCTGGTGTCGTGCAACCGCCCCCGGTGGGGTGGTATATGACTTGTGTGTCGCTCATTAGTAAAACATTCACTATAGATTTTTTCAATTGATTAAAAGTATACTATTCAAATGTCCATGTTCCGATTGCTTTTATTAATACGTTGTGAAACAAGCTATTTTGATCCGGTCATCTCAGACTTATCCAAATTATCTATGTTTGTGTTATTTGTAACAGGATGTGTTCGAACACGGGCTCCGTGGATGCATGTCTAATACCGTGCATGCATGTGGTTACAATTATACAAGAGTTGCTAGAGTAAACGTTTACAATTCACTCAAATGAACGCTATCTCTGGGTGACATGCAATCAGCATCATGATGTTACAAACCCTTTTAAAACATTTTTTATCGATTGACAAACAAGTATCTTTTTTCCATATCAATACAAATGAACATATCCAGACAATGTTCTAATCGCTCAGTACATCGTTAGTGCATGCATTAAGTCTCCAGTATATAACAATTCTGGAATTATGTCTTAAAACCAGTAAGCTGTATCGTGGTGGAATGATGCGGATGCTAATCAAAAAATGCAGCACGCCCTATTGAGCTAAATATGATCACTATCCACAACACTAAGTTTGCAGAATTGGAATTTTTACAAGCTTAAATTTTATTTTCTCAACAAACAACTAAGAGCTGCGTTCACCACGAAGTGTTTGAGCGCAAAACATATGTCTGACCTTTGTCAAGACAAACAAATAGAGCCGCTGCATGACGATATTGAAGCATTTATTGCCGGTATTGGAGTTATATTGACTAAACTCTTTTGATTGAACAAGGAAGCAAAATATGCATTTCTTGAATAACTGGATGAAAACAGTTTTCCATCAAGAAGCACCTGTCAAGTTTGCGCTGTTAACTTTTCCGAGGCATTTTTCTGGCTTGATGTATGCTAAATACTCATAGTAATTTATCTCACATTAATTTTTAATCAATTAGAAGGACATGACAGACGACCAAAACACCCTCTCTCATTTGCAAACGTCGACTTATTCGGATGTGTAAATAATATAGCCTTGGTCACTTTATCAGTGTTTGAACACAATACATTATACCAGTAATAAAACCTAATCAAAAAAAAAAGTCTTGACACTGCATGGCTGACATGAAAGCTAAAGATTTGAATTATTATTTTCCAGGTGACCTCGAAAAACGGTTTGCATTAAATTTATCTTACGAAATGAAGACTTTGAATGTCGAATTTTATGAAAGTTTTTCAAGTGTCGACCGAGTCTATTAAAAAGTTAACAAAAGGTGGACGCAAAGGATAGGCAAAGAACGTTGAAAGACATCTCCTATAAAATTGTTCTTAATTCATCATAAATGACGTTCGCATACTGCCACACTCTGAAACACTGTGAAAAAAAAGATGAGATCTTATTGGTGGCTTGCAACTATTCCCTTGGAGTAAGAGAATAATGGAATCCTCGCCATGTTGGATGAAATTTGCATTGTAAATAAGGAAAATCCTTTGTTGAAATCATCATTAAACATGGCGACTATGACGTAGCTTACAAACCAAGAATAGCTAGAGTTGCATTGCATTTCATTGCATTGCATTGCATTGCATTGAAGTTTTCTAAATTCTCTAGTGAAGTTCTATAGTGAAGTTCTAAATTCTAATGAAGTTTTCTAAATTCTCTCTACGTTCTCGATGATGTTGGTACAGCAGGAGCGTGGCTGCATTCAAGCTAATGACCATAAAACTCTCTTTCTTTGCTGCTAGGTCCGTCCATTTAATACGTAGCTATTCAAAATTTTCCGAATTCCAAACACCCCCATCCATTTTATACACAAACGTACTTTTCTGCTTCAATGTTCAATTGACAGTAAGCTGACTGATTTCTGTCATTATAAGGCCAATATAGGATTTGATTAAAGTACACAAATGTATACTTTAATCGTAAACCCTCCCCTTAATAGCACACTGCAATACAACGTCAATCCAAAGTAATCAGATGCCCACATTGTTATCACCCGAGTGTGACCAATTACTAGGTCCCACTCGAGTAGTGAAACCAACTTTAATATGCGAAAGAGCTTTAATGACGACGTATTTCTGTTATTTTTGTAACTTAAGGCCATGTATAAACATAGCAGATTTTATGGAAATATGATTATGATTAATATTATGATTACTTTTTCGTATCTAGTGGGACCTTCCAATATGACGGTGAGAAATTGAATCTTCCAGGGTCAGTCGGTTGTTGTTGAGCTTGGTGTATTGAGCATTGGACTTGCAATCAACGATTACTGTATGTGACATGGCAAGGAAGTCAGCAATGTAAGGATAGATTATAAAACACACTATTATACAAATGTCATTTTTATTGTTGGTTTTTCGACAGTGGAATGCGTCACTTGGTATATTTTCAGAAAAATATCGCATATAAAAAACGAATACAGATCTGTTGCATAACTAAGTCTTTGATCAAATTTTTCTGACTCACCAATGGGAGTAATTTATTAATAGTCAGGAAACAGAGAGCAAATCAAACGCCCTTTCACACCCCTTCCTAATATCAACCGTACACTCAATCCTCAAACTACAACCCGAACTGACGACGACACCAGTACGAACCAAGGACCTCGTGCATTGGAGAACAGACAGAGCATGTTGAGCCAGAAGCTCAACAACGAATACTAATAGTTTTCTGGCATATTTGTACCCTTTTTTTTCAACTTTTTAGTAGAAATATACAAAGTAGACTTGAACCTAAGAAGGTGCAATTGCATTAGCCATGACTTTACCTTAGATATTTACGTATTAGTGAACTCTAAAAAGACAAAGAGAACAAAGCAGTCTTGAACCAGAACAGCAGTGATCTCAAACCGTCAACTTACACACTCAAACAAGCGAGAGAGATGTGGAGCATGTGGAAACATATCAAGTGCTACAACAGAACAACATTTGTTGCCTTTCAATACATAAGACTTTAAGTTATAAGATGTTTGGCAAATGCTTTTACCTCATCATTAAATAAATAGAACTATATAAAGAAAATTGTCTTGCTACAAGTCAAGCGATAGCAATCGAAGCAATATAAATATAATGATAAAGAAAGAAGAAGAATAAAGTATACATGTCATGCATTGCCATGTGGTGAATCCCGTGCATGTCTTTTGTAATTTTTTTTGATTTAATGTCGACGGGATTATTTAACTTTACGTTTGATGACAAATATATTTTTAATCATTATACTCACCAACCACTTATTAATGTAATGTCTTCTACAAAAGCATGTTGTTTCTATAGATCATCAACTTACTTTTTTACTTTGTTATTATAGTTTTAGCACTTACCTATACAAGTTTATTTAGACCTTTGAAGGTAAATCAATATGCCCTCTCGTTTCAAGGTGACGTTGCTCATTTAATTTATTCGATGTAAACGATTCAAACTTCACATTACGCTTTGTAAGAACGAAGGTATAGAGATTTATAGACATGAGTTAATTTAAAAATTCATACTAAGTACATCTCAAGCTATAATAAAATACATGAAATTAAATTTATTTTAAATCTTCGAGAGGCTAGTACAAATGTTATAATAGTTTGAGGACAATTACAAGAACAAGAACGAAGACAGCAATAATTTCTACGCTATTTACATCATCGAATAAAGTCAACATATTAAAGCAGAACTTCTCTGATAGTTCGATGATTGAGTTGTCATGCATTGACATTAAGTAGATGAACAGAGCCTCTTTAGTGAAAGCTTGGAAAGATCCATTTATCCTTTATTGGCTTTCCATAAAAATTTTCCTGTTATCCTCTTTAGTGAAAGCTTGGAAAGATCCATTTATCCTTTATTGGCTTTCCATAAAAATTTTCCTGTTATCCATCAATTTTGTATTTGTGCAGGACATCAGGAGATGTTTCTCATTCCCGATTTCAAAGGTATGATTACAATGATTACATATCCTATCATTATATGTTGTACTGTTGTAACGATCAGTTTCGACTCGTAGTTCATGCGTTGAAATTTGAGTTTTAGCTACGGCTTGTCGTTGTTTAATATTATAGATTTGGTTGGTATTTTTCAAAACACGAGACCTTTGAAGTTGACTAAACACCTTTGGCTTTTTTTGCTTTCATCTTGTTGAGTTTGTTCATTCCAGTGATCAGCATGGAGACTCAATTCAATTTATTTTGGACATAAAGGCAAAAATATTGTGGCTCTTTGGGTGCTATTACAAAACCTTTAAAATCGACCTGTATATACCACATAATTGAAATGAATATGTTGTAAACATAGCTGGCCGTAAGTTAAGGTAAACGGTCGTTTGCGGACCTATACGTTGCGGATCCAGTATTTTCCTTTTAACGTAGCTATATTTATTATTATGTAGTGGATATATTTCTATTAGTATAAGCTCACTATTATAGGTTCGAGCACTGTGGTGACTCTACAAACAATCCATACAATGTGTAACCCTACGTCTTGTGTCCCATGTGCAGGAGTCACCATTTTACTATGGTGATAACCGGGAGGGCACATTGTTATACACTTTGTATATATATATATATATGTAGGTTGTGCTAATAAACACTTTACACAAGAACTAAAATAATGTAGTTTCAAAGCGCTATTGTATTACATTGACAATGAAGTGTATTACATAAAATCTTTTCAGTTGACGAAGCGTAACGTAACTGCTTAGGTTTCTTGCTGCATGATCACCTTGAAATGTCACTTTCGAACATGACCACATTGCAAAGCGAAAGTAGTGTAGTATTGATTTATACCTTCGTAGGGCTTCATAAATTTATATAGGTAAGTGCTAAAATATTAATAACAATGTAAAAAAGCGAGTAACTGGTTTGCAGAAACTATATGCTTTAGTTGAAGACATTGCAATAAGTGGTTGCTGTGTATAATATAACAAATAACTTAGTTAATTCAACGTAAAGTTAAATAATCCCGACGGCAATAAATAGAAAATGACAAAGGACATGCGCGTGATTCACCATATGGCAATGCATGACATTTTGCATACTTTATTCTTCTTCTTCTTTGTGGTAATAGACATTATGCTTCAATGTTATCGTTCAACTTGAAAATCGTAGCAAGGCCATTTTTATAGTTCTATATTTTCAATGATGCCGTAAAGCATTTTCCAAACATCATATAACTTAAAGCCTTATGTAATGAAAGGCAACAAATGTTGTTGTGTTGACCCACTAAATATATTTTAATCGACTGGACATCTCCCTCGCTTGGTCGAGTGGTAAAGATGGCGGTTGGTGACTACTGCTGTTCGGGCTCAAGGCTCCTTCGTTCTTTTCGATTTTTGAAGTTGTAAAACGCGTACATAACCAATGTTAAGTCGTGGATGTGATAGTTCAACCTTCTAAGGTTCAGTACCACCTTGTTTTCTATCCCTTCAACTCTAAAAGAAGCGGAAAATATGCCCGGAAATCGTTAGTATTCGTTGTTGAGCTTTTGGCTCAACAGGCTGTCTGACCTCCAATACACGAGGTCTTTGGTTCGTCCCGGTGTCGTTGTCAGTACGGGTTGCAGGCTGAGCATTGAGTGCTAGGTTGAGGTTAGGAGGGGTTGTGAAAGGGCGTTCGGTTTGCCATCTGTTTCCTGGCTATAAAAAATGACTCCCATTGGTGAGTCATAGAACAATTGATCAAAGACTTAGGCAAATTTTAGGGCAAAATTTTTGCAACAGGTTTTCTATTTTTCTTTGCGATTTTTTTCCGAAAATATACTAAGCGTCGCATTCCATATTCGAAAAACCAACAAAAGAAATGCCCTTTCCACACATTATGTACTATTTTTTCCCCTTACTTTGCTGTCTGCTTTGTCCTGACATACACGGTAATCGTTTATTGCAAGTGCAATGTTCAACACACCAAGCCCAAATACAACCATATAACCTTCAAAGGATTCTAACCCTACCATACAACCTGAGAAACCTTACACTACATAATCGACCAGTGAGTGCTTTGAAGACAGATGGATAATTTAGTCTACATAAGATGTGTTGAAAGTAATGTTAAAGCGTTGAAAAGAAGAGCATCTTCCATAAATGTGTCAGCATAAGTAGGCTACTTTTTAAGTTGATACGACCAAATATTTTATATTACACGTAATTTCCTTCCTTTGCCGTTTAATTGTTTAGCTGTTTATTGTCTTGGATTGCCATAAATATATCCCACTAGTCATGCAAAATATAACTGAAACATTTCTTCCTTTTCGACAGCAAATTTACCGTAGCCTAAATGTCTTCTCGCTCAAATGCTTTATTAACATTCTTCTCTATTATTTGAAGTAAGTTTTTGTTATGAGCAACCACTGCAAAAGATGTGACGATGACGTTCTGTAATATATGATCTGTTCCTTTCTGTTCAATAACGTGCAATATGTAGTTTTATAAATTTTCTGTTAAGTCCTGTTTAATTTCTGCATTTACAGCTTTCATTTTTGGCATACAGTTTTGTAAGAATCGCTTTTGACTTGCTTTCTCCTTCCACGTGGTCTCTAGTCAACCCTAACTTCTGACAAATATCAGGAAATGTTTCCGTCTTGCTTTTAACCGGTTTAAGCCGAGCTATCAGCTATTAGCTATACAAAGTTACTCTCTACAACGCCAATCAATGTTTTACCTTTCTTGCATGATTACTCACACACATAACCATAGCATTGCTATTGCCTTTCCATTCTCATAGCACTTTTGAACTGTACTTTTATGTGATTAATTATGTAAACATTAGCTTGCTGACTACAATTGGTTAACGTCTTTGATGTTCTGCACATGGACATTGTTCTACATTATCCCAAACTTTGTCAATTTTTGACTTGCACCCATTCTCCAGGGATTTACTAAACATTAACATTTGCCAACTCTGCTGGAGTCCACAGAAGTATTGATAAAATATTTTATCGTATAACACCTCCAAAATGGCTGACGTGAAAAACATTAACAGGTTTGACATCGGGTGATAATTATGCTCGCAAGTACTTCAATTTGATATTTTTTCACCAAATCATTCTTTACCAAAAAAGAAGGTTTAGCCATCATTTCACACAATCTATTTACGTTGTGCTAAGACAAGTTTAATAATTTCCACCAGTGATGTAGAAACAGGGACGGCCATAGGAAGCAAAGGCCTGAAATGCGTTTTGCAATTGCAAGCAGTAATTAAATTTAAAGAAAAAATCCAATACATTTATTTCATTATACCTATAAAAACAAAATCTACTATTTACAAATCTCTTCAACGACTTTCTGAGCGTTATCTTCGAGATCTTCGGAGGTAAACATCAGACTGTATCGGCGATATCGTACATGATTGCTTTGGTGTCGAGTACAATTATTTTGCTCCCGACTGGCGTACTTCAAGCGAAATGTTACGAGCTATGGCCTTATCCGCCGTCATCCATGAGTAGCACCCATGCGTTTTTTGCATCTGCCCTGTTGTAGTGGTTCATAATCTGTAATGCAAAGAGAAGAACAGCTCGTCAATGTGATCAGGTAAATATCCTCGCCCTCGGGGAGAGGGGGGCTACGGGCTCATACATCAAAACTATCACTAATGTTAACGGTGACCTTCATGATGGCGTTGAATTCATTACCTCCTGCGCTAAATCCATGGCATAACCACCCAACGTGTAAGCACCGTAGCATTGGCGTCAATCCTGTCTTAATTGGGGGACCATATTCATATATTCTGCTATGCCTGGCTAATTTCTTTTCAAAACAATTTCATTTTCAAAAGAAATCAGCCTGGCATAACTGAATATATGAATATAGTCTCAATTATCGCAGGATTGACGCCCAGCTATAGTGAAATTCAACTTTGGAGATGGCATCTGTTAGTTCTCCTGCGGTCTGGTACTCAATGAAGTAAAACTCTAGACCTGTACGATTTACTAGAGTACTGTAACAGGCCAACAATGTAGGTTGTGGCCAATATCAAACGACTCTACTACCAGTGACATGAACTTTTGGGGAATTTTCAAACGTTGTCGTTGAAACGCTCCCGGAACCGTCGACCAAGAAAAATATATTTCTTTTTTCACGTACACAAGTGCAGCAGGAAAACTGCTGATCCTGATTCTCCTGGAGAGAGGAGGGAGTACCTCTTTCCCATTTTGCATGC